CTGCTGACAGAGCAGTTTGCTTACAGGAGAATATTCACTTACAATGTTTATTAAAATAGCAACAGTACAAAGCCGGCAGAAAAAATATTCAGTGTTTCAAAAAGTTGTGTTTGTGTCCAGGAGGCTGTTTTATGTAGCCTGGCCCCTGTTTGCATCTAGGACCAAATCAGTTTTAATTTGCTATTTAATGAACAGAAAGGGGCGGCCTGAAGGGGGTTCCAGTTCTGTAGTTGGGAAATCCAAAAGCTTTCTTATGGAGGCTTGCCTAAAAGGAGTAGCTAAGATGTTAAAAAGCATTATATTGCTGCGGTACAGTTGAATTCTACTTTATTTACCCATTTTACTTTTCAGTAGCTTTTACTTGATACTGTCAGTATGAAAGTAAGAACTGGGTAGCTAAAAATTAGCTAGACAGTTGTTTTCAAGCAGAAAGAGGATCATCATCCTGTTTTTTGGACTAGCTGATCTGTCCAGAAGGTTGAAATCAAAGCATTTGGAAGTGTTTATATTCAGCCATTCCTTTACACTGTCTGAAATTGCTGGGAATTTTCTTTTCATGTTTTCTAAAACATCTATACTGCTGCACTGTCAGACTTATTAATAGCTTTGTGTGTTTTTTTCTTTTAAAGCAAATTGATGGAGAAGCATTTCTGCTAATGACCCAGTCAGACATAGTGAAAATAATGAGCATTAAACTGGGACCAGCCCTAAAAATCTTTAATTCCATTCTGATGTTCAAAGCTGCAGAGAAAAACTCACACAATGAACTTTGAGGATAATGGAAAATGTGTACAAGCCAGATTTCTCCACTGGAGCTCATGTTTTATTCAAAGCACAAAGACTTGCTAGAACTGTTGAGTAAGAAAGGAAAAAAAGTAAATTCAGCACTGGTGGACTATTTATATTCTCCTAGAGCCAGTACACATCTGAATCCTTCTGGGAAGTGTTCAAGCTTTTGAGAAGGTACTGTGTAACAACCGAGTCAGCTAGTCTTATTTACCAAACTAATGGCGCTAATTCTCCATGGATGGTTGGGATCCCTAACTTTCTCTGGACATCAAGAAAACTTCATTAATTATTTATGCTGTATTATATAAGGGAACGTTAATATTTTCTAAGAATTCTTAAATTCTACTTCATGTACTCATTTTACTTTACAGAAGCTTTTACTTCATACTATCAAAATAAAAACTGATTAGCCAAAAATTAGGCTACAGGTAGCCAGATGAGACTGTTATGGCTAATAGGTATTTGTGCCATAGTTTAAATATGAAACACTTAATGTTACATACGTGACACTTTATGCTACAGCATATAACTTTACAGATTATAAAACTGTTTGTTTGCTTGTAACAAAACAAAACAAAAAAAACCTTGTTGGGGTTGAAATTACAATGCTTTTTTGATCACTGAATGTTTTTACTTTTGCACGATTGCAAAAATGTTATGTGAGTTTTTCCACCAGCATCTTTTAATGTATTTTACCAAAAGATCAGTATAGAGAAGGCTGCAACTGAAAAATAAAGTTTGACTTCATAGAAGACTTTTCATTTATGCTGCATAATAGAGTCCCAGCCTTTTACATGGGAGCCTGCTACAGTCCTTCCACACATGAAGGATAGTACATGTATTTCGAGGTAAGGATATTAGCAAAGAAGAAATTCATTCACATCTGCATGTGCCAGTTTCCAGTGTAGCTACCACAACAGTTGAGAAAAACATTGTTCTAAAGCTAGGACTGCTACTCTGGCTTCATATTCCACATAGGTTTGTTTTCATAATGGTGGGAGAAATATTTGACTCACAGCTTCCTAGTTGGAAAGTCAGATTTATAAATTAATAAGGCATAGGGGGAGACAAAGCATGGAGGAAAAAGATACTTAAACATATATGGTGCATCAGCACATCCTAGGTGTAAAATGCATGCGTTTCACTGGGCCATTAGTGGGCTGCAGATGCCACCAGCAGGTACTTAGGTGAGGCAACCTTCTTTCTTGGAGGATTGTTATAACAATTTGTCAGGGAAAGTTGTTGCACTTGGTATATATACATAAGATGTAAACCAGATGCACTTTAAATGGAAGAAAGCCTAGCTGGCCGTATACTGAGGACTGTTCCAGAATGTTACTTTTTCAAGAAGAGATTGAAGAGTTGGATCAAGATTTTTGGCAGCCCTCTTCTTAGCATTGCAGTGGGCAGTGGCTCAGCCGTTAGAGCTGAGAACAAACAGACCGTTTCCGTTGCATAGAGCTGGGAGAATTTTACATCTTCCCACAGATTTTGCTAGGCTGTTGTTTGGCTGGAGTTCCTTAAAGATTTCAAGAACTCTCTGTGCCCCTTCTAGATCATGTAGGTGACTGGTACCTGCCATAATAGGAGGTGAAACAGGGTCAGTATGAAGTAAGTTGCATTGCTCTGTTAATTTCCTTCTACAGCATTGCATAAATAATATTTTTACATTTTGTTCCTTATTTGTACATTCAAATTGCACTCTTACTGTACTACAATACAAATAAAACCTGAACTGGAACAATCTGTTACATTTGTGTGTGCCCAGGATTCTCAGGTGAACCCAGCTGTTCCCAAGGGTGGTGTGAAGTAATTCCTTACTGTAGCTCAATGTGGCCATGAGTTCAAAGAGCAACTTGACTACTGCTGTCTGTCCTTTCCCTAAACACTTCCTCCTAAGGCTCACAGGCCACTTGCTGTCATAATCAGAATCTCATTTATGGACATTGATTTTGTCACTGGCAGCAGCCACAGTTGCCCAATGCAGATCAGTAAAATGTCAAATTCTTCTGTTTTCTTTCCTTCTGTCCTTCTCTGTAGTTTATTTTCCTTCACCCTCTGCATTTCTCTCTTGTGCTCTCTGTAGCCTGCAGTGAGAACCAACGAAGAGATGTGCTGCTCAACAGGGATTACTCAGGGATGTTAGCAGCTCCCTGACATTTTATATACCTATGTACAAAGTACTGTGGTTTAAGAAAGGGATTTGAATTAATACTGTTTACAAGATGTAGAATAAACCTTACTTAAAAGATACAGAACCCAACTTTTTATTCATACAGCTATCACAACAGTAAGGACATGCATAATCCTTACTTTTGTATCTCGTGCGATGAGGTAGCAGGGTGTAGCCACCTTGGTTACAAAACCAACATGGAACAAATTCACTCAGAAACTAAAAACATTCAGGAGACTTACTGAATTTTTAAAATGGTAGTTGGTATTGTTCTGTATGTTGTATTATAGGTAGCCTAGCTGTCACACAGGTAGAGGTTGTCCCCTGATTTCCATGGGAGTGACATGATAAATCCCGAGTTTAGCAAGACTCTGGCCATTAAATGCAGCGAACTCCCCTCATACTGCAGGGTGTCCCACTGTAATCTCTGCACAGCCAGCTGTGTGTTTGAGCATTCAAAGAATCATGCTGACCACAAACACTGCTTTGCCTACACAGACATTTTTAGAACTGGTGGGAGATTGATCTATTTAGTAGAATACAGTGTTTTAACAAAAAGCCATTTTAATTTCCAGTTAATGCCATGGGTCATGTTTGCTGGCTGCTGCTACTGTCCATCACTAGGCGCTTGCCTGAAGCCAATGCACTGCCAGGCAGTAATCCCTGAGATTCCAGACATGCAGGAGTTAAGAGAAGCATGTTAGGGAAAAGAGGAGGCTGTGGAAGAAGAGAGGAGAGGGCCTTTTTGTGGGCAGATACAAGAGTCATTATGTGGAGAAGACCAATTTCTTCTGGGGAGCAAACTCAGAAAGAAAATGAGGCTTTCTCTCCCCAGCACCAAAGCTGTAGTTACAAACGCACATGGCAGCATCCCAGGTAAGTCATTCTTTCTACTTGCAGAGCTCATTTTAATTCAGGATTAATTAAAAAAAAAAAAAAAAAAAAAAAAAAAAAAAAGAATGTTTCAGGCATGGAGAAAATAGTGAAAACTCATCATCCTGAAAATTACAAATCAGGCCCACCATTTTAAAACACAAAAATTATTACAGTAGGCTTTCAGTGATGATCATCATATAATTAAATGATGTAGTAAAGAAATCTTTAATTTGTGCCAATGTATTAGCATCTCAAGGAGCAAAGCGCTCACATTAATTCACAAGTGTGGTTTTTAAATTCTGGCAGTCAAAAGACTATCTGAATTTTTTAAATGCTCCATATGGAAAAGGAATACACGATACATGCAGTAATCTAGAAAATTTGTTATCTCTAATGCCTCTAGACTGCTCTAGAATTTCCATTTACAATAATGAAAATGCTTAGGTTTTAATTCTTTAAAAAAGTAGCCAGTACAATAAAAACAGGCATTATTAAACATAACAGAGTTGTATATCTACATACACTTTCACCAGAAGTAATGGCACTGATTATCTTCACAACAAAGGGATTTATTCTGACAAAATGTCAAATGCTTCCAAGAGGAGTGCTGTGTACACCATCAGGTACTGGGATATTTGGGTACTTCCAGCCCTCTCTTTACCTGGTTAGAGAGGGATGCTGGGCTTCTCACCTCAAAGACCAGGGACTCCAGGAAGTTCAGCGTCCTGTGGATTCTCTTTGGGCACGGGATATCGAACACGTGAAATGCAGCCAGCAGCGCAGCCAGGGCCATAGTGCAGTCATCGAGCTGGGCTAGCTCTTCTCTTTCCACGTACAGCGCAAACTCACATGAATTCACATTGAAGGGATTTTTTACTTCTAGCACTGGTGTCACCACCTTCACCTAAATTTACAAAAAAGGGTATTTCAAATGATGACACAGTATTGCTTTAGGTCAGAGAAGTAAGTAAGTAAGCATATAGTAACACTGCTTTGAATTTAGCTAGTGTTTCTAGAAATATTTGCCTTCTACCCAAAAGGCAGTCTAGTGTCATCCTTTTCCAGGAACTAAGCTGAGCCACCAAATGGCCAGGTGATGTGCCCAGGCAGCTCATAGGAGGAGGAAGGACCAAGACTGCTAATGCTCTGTCTCCTACCTCCTCGTTCACTGCAGCAAACAGTCTGGAATCGTCTCCAAAGACATCTGGCAGGAGTAAACATGCAGCAGTCATTTTCATATCTGTCAAAGGCAAGGATTTCTACTAAATGACAAATGAAAACATTGTGACACTGCAGTATCATCCCTTAAAAGCAGATTGCAGCCTATGAAATCGTTAACAGCTCAGCAGCAGAACTCTTTGTTTAGTCCATTTTGAAGAGTAGTTTGTACCACAGTGAAGGTTTAGGTGCCTCAGCTGGCAATGGATAGTAGTATTCAAATCATTCATGACACTCTACTACTCAATATTATGATTAAATTTCCCTCACAATAAGCAAGTAGGCCTTTGGGTTGCTTCTAGTGGAGTCTCAATGCTGAGTAACCCACCTGCCTCCAAATGCCTCTCTCCCCAGTAAATCAGATGTCTCAGGGAGCCCTGTGGCCAGAGGACTCCACTTTGAAGGCTGCAGTACAAGCTGGTGCTGCAGGACCTCCTGGGATGCGGTACCCGTTACCCCTCTGGTTCAGCTATTAATGACTAACATCTTTTTTGCAGGTCAGGCTTCTGGCATCATGTGCTTTACTGAACCTGGCTTGTCAGGCATCTATTATCTAGGGGCCAGGTCAAGTTGTTTGTAAGAAAAAACGGGAAAGTAAAGGCCTTGGGACTTTACTAAGCTGTGAGTTAAAACCTTTGTGGGCATATTGTTTAAGAAAAGGGGAAATTACTTACAATGTCCACAGCTTTCTAAGGCTAAAGGTAGAAAGTCCATAAAGCCTTTCTGGATTAGCTGTTCATTGACACTTTTTAACCTGTTTTAAACTATTGTACTTCCGTGTTTAAGCTTAAAGGGAGAAAACTCCAATATTTTAACCTACTCTTACTTCTTTAAGAAACAACCCGATAATAAAAGGAGTGAACCTTAACTCTTCCTAGCAAAACCAGGACAACCTGCTATAGGAAACACAAGTGTTCATACTGTGTTGCCTTTGATTTACATCCTGGCATTATGCCTGTTTCATAGAAAATGACAGTCAAAGAAGCACTTCTCAAAGAGCTGAGCTCGGGCACAGGCATCTACAGCTGCAGTTTGGGAAGAAAAAAGATCATGAGTAGCTCCTTCATGGTTCTGTCCCGGTGGCACCACGCTCCCAGACTTTTCAGTCTGAAAGAAGCTGAGTGGCAGCAGGTGCTTACTCCCTCACATCCATCGAGCCAAACATGTCAAGGTACCTGGGCCTCTTTGCATGCCTGTGGTACCTACTTGCCAGAGGTACCAGTTTGTGCACTCATTCCTACAATTTATCTCTGCAGAGATGAGGTAAGCACTCTTTTACATATCTAGAAATACATAATTATGTTCATCTTACTTTAAGGCAGTTACTGACTTTATCCAACCTGCAATATTTTATTCAATAGAAAAAAATAGTTTTAATACCTGACTGACTTAATTTTCCTTGTAGTCTATTAGCTTTTATTCTTAATGCTTCCCCGTCATTACATATTTTTCAAGCAACTGTGACATTTTAAAATCTTTTAGCAGTAAAATTAGAGCTAGTTTAATAAGTAAGAACAATTAGCTACAACAAAACTGATATTCAGAGCATGGAAGATTTGTACTGACATTTCAGAATGTCTTCCTCTGTGTGCTGCTTCAGAGTTTCTTGCAGCGTAATGTTAATTGGATTATTCCTCACCACAGACAAAGATAATATGTTTTCTGAATAAATCTCCAAAATCTCAACTGTTTTCTTATAAATGTCCATCTGTGTGAGAAGCTGGAACTCCCTAAAAAGCTAAAAGAAAAAGAAAAATTTGGTATTATTGCAATCCTCAAAACCAAAACTGAAAACAACATGAGGTGCATGCTTTGAAGAAAGAATAGGATAAGACTAACTCAGTAAGATAAGATTATAAACTGAAGGGGATGGTGTAATTTTTTTCAAAACAAAGAAATATATCAAGTAACACCAAAATACTTCAAATAGCCCAGTGGTGGTGTGTGTGGCATGTTTAACACAGGGCTGGTGAATCTTTTGAAGTGGGGTTAGCAGCAAAAATATGAGTTAGATTAGAGAGAATAGCATTGATGGATACTACACTGGAAACATTCAGTAAAATACATGCCTACGGTTGTATCACATCCGTAATATAGAATTCAATGTCATTATTAAAAATATTTCTGTTACCTGATAAGGGCATCTTAAGAAAGGAAAGAGTCTAAGAATGTCTTTTAAAGGTGCCTTATCACTGATCATCTTCCTCCGTATTTCTATTGTCACATTCATTCTGTTATCCACTTCTTTCCAGTTCCTCTGAGTTTTCATATATTCTTGCTTAAGCCACTTAATGTGTACATCCATTGCACTGCCTTCAGGATGAACAGGTTCTTCCTATCAAGAAATGAAGAACAGAATTGTAACATCATCTATCCTTTTTGATATCTGATGTGGTTTGTGTGATTTGAGTGTAGTCAAAGTGTAGTCAAGCTCAGCAGAAAATAGCTGTAGTGTGGTTATAGCATCAGCTCTGCGAACTCACCCTCATGTTCTAATAGTTATATTAAGATGTGTTTTCGTATAATACTATAGCTATCCAGCCAAGTCTCCCAAGCTCAAATTACATATTTTAGGATATTCATGAGATTCCTGTGTCTGTGTCTGATTTGCCTAACTGCAGTTTATTGGAAGTTAGTAGGCAGTTCTAATGATGACTCAGTGTATAGCAATATTGGCTCTGTATTACCAAGAGAAATAGTATTTTCTTCTTACTCATACAGGTCCAAAAAGCAGGACAACTAACTTTCACATTTACCCCCAAGGAGAGCAGCTGAACTAAGAAAACTCTTAATGGAACGCATTAAGAGTTTGACTGTTAGTGTTTTGAAAAAAGTTATTTTGTCCTTGAAAATATAATTAACGGTCTTCTTCAAAATTATTATTGTCCCCGCTGTAATTCCCAAACCAGTAATTACTAAGAGGAGGAGTGACTATCCAAAGCAGCAAGTACATCTGTGGCAGTAGCCCGGGGCTGTTTAGTTTCTATCAGATGCAGTGAATTTGTCCACTGAAACAAGCGGAGATGACATACTGATGCATTATTAGTACAATTACCACTTTCAGGCTGCATTTACATTGGCTTTTCCCATGAGTATTGTCACTGATGCCGCTGTCATCTATGTCAGTGGTGGCCTGTGGTTCAACGCCAGAGGGAGTTGAGACGCTTCATTCTGTTTCCCAGAACATTTAAGACACAGAGCTGCAAAACATGCAACATCCCAAACTGCTTTGCAGTGCTCTCTATGTGCAATTAAACTTTGCAGTGTAATTAACATCCTTTTTTAAACTGTGCATGTAGTATTCCAAGAATGGTTGCACAAGGCACACAATTAAAAAACTGTCTCCCTTCTAGTACATATCCATGGATTTCAATAGCCATTGGGATCCCAGAAGAAAATCAGCCCTGCGTGCTGGACAGTTACCTACCATGACTCCCGCAGGTACTCCCCTGGCCCTTGCTGGGATGCTGTATCAGCACCGTTTGCACTCTTTCTAATAGAAGATTTTAGTCTTAATTGCATTACAACAGTAATACTTGTTTGTGACCAGTTTGAGTAGGCATTCCTCTCCTCTTCCTCACTGTACAGGAACAGAGGTGATGGGTCAGAGGATTTAGTCCAATACCCTCCTCTACCTGGCTGAGAGGGGCACTGATAACAGGCATAAAGTAAGGACTGTTGTGTAGTGGTACTTCCCCTGAATCCTGTCAAGACTCCACTGAACTGGAATTATGTCTTTATATTTCATAGACTTCAGTAGATATTTTTTTTTCCTTCCATTACTTCTCCCAGTCCCTTCTCCAGCTCTCATAAAATTGTACCTTCCACAACATCATGTACTAAGTTCAGCAGTTAAACTATGCACTGTCAGAACAAACGCCTTCTTTTGTTTGTTTTCTCCTGCTGCTTCTGCCTTCTAATTATTGCACTGGATTCAATACCTATTCACCACCTCCTTGCCACTGTAGTTTTATAGATATGTCATATTCTGTCCTCAGCCACGTCTTTTCCAGCCAGGACTGTCCTAAGCTATTTAATCATTCCACATATAAAAGCTGATCCATACTTTCAATTATTCTTCTTATTGTCTTTGCATATTTTCTCATTTCATTACAGCCTTTATGAAATGGGCACAGTAAAACTTCAGATACTAGCTGAAATGCTGTATCGCTGCAAGTGCATACAGTGGAATAATACACTCCCTTTTGCTTCTTTCTTAAATATTTCTGAGCACAAAATATACTTTTTTGGACTGGTGCTTAGCATTGTACCAGATTGACATAATACAAAAATATCATTTGTGAATGGTAATAATAAGCTCAAAGCCTATCACTGTAAACGTTGTTAGGACTAGGTTTTCTCCTTGTGCCTTATTTTACATTTATCACTTGAATTTTATCTGCTGCTTTTTTGCCCTGTCACTCAGTAGCATGGGGTCCTTCTGCAATTCTTCAGTCAGTCTTTGTCTTTAGTACCCTTAGTACCATCACCAAATGTGGTCAGCCAGCTATTATCATTTTTTCACATCATTTAGAAATATATTGTTCTGCATAAACTAAGCATTAATAATCTTTTCCACTGTAAATACCAACTATTTCTGTCTTGCCTTCTTTGTTCTATCTTTTAACTATTTATCTATGCAAGGACCTCCCTGCTTAGCTGCCTAGATTATATCCTCTAAGAGCCTTTGAAAAGCACATAGTGAAACCTTTTCTGAAGTTAAACTATATCAGCTGGATTTCCCATGTTCTCAGGGTTGTTGAATACTTCAAAGAACTAATGAATTTATGAATAATTACTTCTGTTTACAGAAACTTCATTGATTCGTTCCCAATGTGTTCATCTCGTGAGTCTGCACTACAGGTGTTGCCAATTTGGCCAGTAAAGACAGCAGGTTTCTTGGTCAGTATGTTGCTGAGCTATCCCCTGGAACTAGAAGCTGGCATCAAATTAGCTACCTCCAATTTTCTAGTATCATATTTCATGAGAGAAATTGCACATCACAATTGGAAAATTACCTGTTTTATCCTTGGACACATCTGAAAATTTTGCAAATATATCATCTGGTCCTGGGAATGTGTTACTGCTCACTTAGTGTACTATTCTGTAAGCTCTTTACTGACACACCAATCTGAGACAGATGCCCTAACATTACCTATGAAGAATGGTCCCAGTAACACGATTGCCTGAACTCCTTGTCCGAGAAGCCTTGCAAAACCTGTTTTTCCTGGTATGGCTTTATATTCTGTGAGCACTCCTGTACCTGGAGAGTGCACCCTGAGCACTCCTGTCCCTTAGCAGCATCAGGCTTCCTGCTTCTCTTCTGTTTGAAAAAGCCTTTATAACCTGTGCAGAAAAGGCAGAAAACCAATTCTGCATAAATCTCCAGCCGATCACTTGCAGTCATCAGACTCCTGTTTTGCTGCTAGCATGTCTTCTCTGCAAGCTTCCTGCACCAGTGTTTGGTATTTTCTGGTTATCTAATTTATATTGGTTACTGACTGTGAATACCATTCACACATCCCCAGGTGAGGTGTTTCTTAACCTCCTAACTTGTGCTAGGTTGGATGGACTGTCTCTTGCTTCAGCACAACCACTGCAAAAACAAGCGTTGATCCGTTCTTGTCAGCCTCAAGATGCTCGTGCTTTCTCACACATGCACAGACACAAACTTGGACTCTTGTTCGGGGTTTTTAAATGACATTTATGTTTTTACTCTGAGCAATATCTAGTTTGAAGTCTCTGACTCCAAACAGCTGTTACTACCAGCTTCTCCTGTGGGTCTGCTTCCAAACCTCCTGCCCGTAGAGCAAGAGCTTCAAGTGTGAATTAAACTCTTTTATAGTTAACTTTAACATTGCTGATGTGAACAGGAAGAATCTGGGTTTGGAAAGTTGGTTACTCAACCAGTCTATCATGCTATCACAGACTAATTGTGGGAGGACTCTAGATCCCCTCCACTTTAACCTGATGTGGAGCACAGCAGCTCATTTCTAGAGGAGCTGGCTGTCACCTTCAGTGCCTTACTTGCAGAGGCAGGAAAGCAAAAATACTCAGGCTAGTGTGCAGTAGCCACAGACAAACTGACTGGGTTGCTTAGAAACAAACACTGAGAGGAATAAGCTGTGACCTTTACTCCAGCTTATCTCCATCCCCCTTTTCAAGGCAAACACCACTTGAGTTGATGGACTTTTCATGTTGTCAGCTCTGTCCTTGAGAGCTAGTTTAGCTAATGACATTATTAATTAGCTAAATTAGACCATCTGACATTTTTTTAAGCACCAATGGTAAGCTACCAATAGAAATACAGGAGTGGTATAAGGAAGAATTGCTGTCATACTTACCTATTAGGAAAAAAAAAAAAGTGATAGAAGGCCAAACTTCATTGTGTAAATCATCCATTACATATGAGTAACACAAGCAAAAATCAGTGTTAGAATTGAATTTCTTGCAGTGTTCAGCCTGCTTAGAGCAATCCCTATCTGTGAGCTTTTCACCTTTTAAGCTGCACTTCTAGGCTGAAGAAAAGTATTGGTAGTCCTGGACTTTAAGCTCTTTGACATAGCTTGTTTAAACTAGTGGTCTATGTAATGGATATACATACCCAGACATAAAACACATCTCAAAACTTCAGTCAAATAAGAGAGCTCCCAGAACATACCAAGTCTGTGGTAGCACTGTTCGGATACCGATTAACAACAGTTTTCTACTGGCCTTAGTAGCCACTGCTGTTTCAGAGTTTACTTCTCATTTATTAAAGTGCAGTGAAAACATAACAAGTAAGGTATCTTGAGGATAAGCCATGGTGAGTGTGATGTAAATAAAACACTTGGGCTGTTGTAAAACTATGCTGCTTGCAATGAAAGAGCAAGCAAATACTGGGTTCTAGGGTTGGCATTAGTGACCAAAACTGCTATGATTTTTGGGGACTCCTTGTCTATATACAGTGGCAGGTCTGCGCCTTTTATATAGTCAATATAGTATATAATGCTATTTAAATATAGATTAGCTGATAATTAGGAGGACAGATTTACTGCATTATTGCATAGCTCTAATTCCAGCTGATTTAATGCTAGGGGTGCACGTTTATGAGTCTAGAACAGAACGGAGCAATAGGACCTCCCTGGTACGCTAAGTCGAATGGCAGTGGCTGTTTTTAGCAGAACCAGTGTAGAGTTAGAGAATAGTGGATTTAGATGTTTGTGGATGAGTTGCTGTTTTCAGTCACACTAGCTGAAAATCTAAAGGGCAAAAGCATTCTCATTGATGTTGTTCATTATTTCTAAGCATAGTCTCATTCAAATAAAATCTGAAGGTTTTTCAATAAAGCAGGAA